GCAGTCTGAAATACTTTCATCAAACTGGTCAACACAGCCTTCATGTCATTTTCTCAGTTATTGTTTTAAAACATTCACATTCTACTCTTAGAAAGATTCACTTGTACCCCTATAAGATAAACTTCAGAATTGATCCCTCCAAACCCCCTCCCTCCACCCATTTCCCCCTCCCTTCTCCCTCCCCCCTCCCCATGTGAGATGATATCTTATGGTGCTTTTGATTTCCATTTCCCTGATTAGTGATCTTGAGTATTTTTGCCACATACTTTTCGTCTATTCATGTTTTCTTTTGAGAAATGTCTGTTCAAATTCTTTGCTGTTTTTAAATAAGACTTAATTTTTTGGGGTGTTCTTTGCATTCTGTCCCTTGTCAAATGCATAGTTTGCAAATATTTTATCCCATTTTACAGGTTGAATCTTCATGCTATTATTTCCTTTGATGGGCAGAAGTTTTCTACTTTGATATATAGTCGCATTTGCCTATTTTTGTTTGTGTTGTCTGTGCTTTTGTAATCAAAGTAAAATTGTCTTTGCCTTAGACCAGTGTCCTGAAGCATTACCCTATGTTTTCTTCCAGTATTTATAGTTTCAGGTGTTACATTTAAATCTTAAGTTTATTTTGAGTTGATTTTCATTTATAGTGAGCAATACAGATCTAGTTTCCTCCTTCTACATATGATATCCAGTTTTCCCAGCACCATTTATTGAAGAGGGTGTCCTTTCCCCAAGGTGTGTTCTTGGTACCTTTATTGAAAATCAGTTAGCTGTAAATGTGTGCACTTACTTCTGAGTTCCATTCAGTTCCATTGGTCCACATATTCGTCTTTATACCAGTATTATGTTGATTTGGTTACTATAGATTTATAGTATATTTTGAAGTCAGGTGGCATGATGCCTTCATATTTGTTCTTTTTGCTCTCGGAATTTCTTTGGTTATTTATACACTTTAGTTGTTCAATACTAATTTTAGGATGGTGTTTTCTATTTCTGTGGAGAATGTCATTGGTATTTTGATGAGGAGCACACTGAATCTGTAATTACTTTGGGTAGTATGGTCATTTTTACAATATTAATTCTTCTAATCCATGAGTATGAGATGTGTTTTCATCTGTTGTGTGTCTTTTAAAATTTCCTTTATTAATGTTTTGTAGTTTTCAACATAGAGATTTTTCGCCTTCTTATTAAAATTTGTTCCTATTTTTTTGTAGCTATTGTAAATTCATTTATTTTTCAGCTAGTTTGTTATTGGCGTATATGAATGATACTGACATTTGTATGTTGATTTTGTTTCCTGCAATTTTACTGAATTTGTTTATTAGTTGTAAGACTTTTTGGATGGGACATTTGGGTTTTTTCTGCATAAGATCATATCATCTGCAAAGAAGGACTGTTTGACTTTCTCTTTTCCAATTTGGAAGCCCTTTATTTTTTTCTCTTGCCTAATTCTTCTGGGTGGGATTTCTAGTACTTTGCTGAATAAGAGCCCAGAATTTAGGCACCCTTTTCTTAATCCTGTTCTTAGAGGAAATACTTTTGGTTTTCCCTATACAGTATGATGTCAAACCTTTTATCTTGTTGAGGAATATGTCTTCTAAACCTAATTTGTTGAGAGATTTTGAAAGATGCTGGAATTGTGTCAAATGCTTTCCTGTGATTGTTGAGATGATCATATGGCCCTAGTCCATCGTTCTCTTAATGTGATTTATCACATCTATTGATTTGCCTATGTTTAACCACCCTTGTGTCCTTGAGATAAATCCCACTTCATCGTGTTATATTATTCTTTTGATATACTGTTGGGTTTGCTAGTATTTTGTTGAAGGTTTTTGCTTCTGTGTTCATAGAAATATTGGCCTGTAGTTGTCTTATTGTCAGTGCTGTGGTGTGTTTGTCTGATTTTGGTATGGGGTGGTGATACCTTGTAGAAGGACTTAGGAAGAATTTTTTTCTTCAATTTTTTTGTGGTAATTTAAGAAGAATTGGTATTAGTTCTTCATTAAAAGTTCGGCAGAATTTGCCAATGAAATCATCCTCATTCTAGACTTTTAATTGTTGGGAGACTTTTTATTACTTTTTAAATCTTGGTACTTGTTATTACTTTTCAGATTTTCTATTTCTTGCCGGTTCAATCATGGTAGTTAATGTGTCTAGGAATTTACCCATTTTCCTTAGGTTCTTCATTTTGTTTGGCCTATAATAATTCATAGTAATCTTGAATTACTTTGTATTTCTGCGAGATTAGTTGTAATGTCTCCTTTTATTGTTTCTGATTTTATTTGAGTATTCTATTTTTCTTAGACTATTAAGGGTTTGTCAATTTTCTTTATCTTTTCAAAACAGATGTTTTGATCTTTATTATGTCTATTTTTTCATCCTAATTAGAGATTAGGTTTGTTCTTGTGTTTCTAGTTCCTTAAGATGCATTTTGGAGTTATTTATTTGAACTCTTTCCTGCTTTTTTTGTCCCTCTCTTTTATTTTCTTCTTTTTTTTATAGCTATAAATTTCCCTCTTAGTGCTATTTTTTTGGTATACATTTGGTTTTGGTATGTTATATATTAATTTTAATTTGTTTTAAGAAATGTTTATGTTTCTTTCTTAATTTCTTCATTTATCCGTGGTTGTTCAGGGGCATTTGTTTGATTCTCATGTATTTTTAGAGTTAGCAAGATTCTTATTATTGATAACTAGTTTTATTCCATATATTTATAAGAATGATTTTGATTTTTTAAAATTTGTTGAAACTTGATTTGTGACCTAACATATTTTAGATTCTGAAGAATGTTCCATGTGCTAAAGACGAGATTATGTATTCTACAGCTATTGTTTGAAAAGTTCGGTAAATATCTGTTAGGTCCCTTTGGTCTAAGGTGCAGTTTAAATCAGATGCTTCATTCTTTGTTTTATATCTAGATGATCTGTTTAGCGCTAAAAGTGGGGTCTTGACATCATTAACTATTGTTGTACTGGAGTCAAAATTTCTCTTTATCTCTAGCAAAATCCGTTTTATATATCTGGGTGCTCTGGTGGTGTGTGCATATATATTATTGTTATAGCCTCTCAATGAATTAATTTCTTCATTATTATATAATGACCGCCTTTATTTTTATATTTTCACTTAAAGTCTATTTTTTAAAATTTATTTTTATTTATGTATGTATTTATGTACTTATTTATTTATTGAGACAGAGTCTCACTTTGTCACCCTTAGTAGAGTGCTATGGCATTATCATAGCTCACAGCAACCTCACACTCCTGGGATCCAGCAATTTTCTTGCCTCAGCCTCCCAGTAGCTGGGACTATAGGTGCCCACCACAATGCCTGGCTATTTTTTGTTTGTTTAGGCATGGGGAGTAGTTCTCACCCTTGCTCAGGCTGGTCTTAAACCTATGAGGTTAGACAATCCACTCACTTCGGCCTCCCAGAGTGCTAGGATTACAGGCATGAGCCACCATGCCCAGCCCCTATTTTCTCTGATATATCTACCCTTAGTTGATTTTGATTTTTTTTTTTTTTTGAAAAAATACCTTTCTCCATTCTTGTATTTTCAATTTATGTATGTCTTTATAAGTGAAGTAAATTTCCTGTAGGCAGCATATCTTTGGGTATCCTTTCTTTGACCCATTCACCTAGTCTATATTTGGATAGACAGAGTATAAATTTCTTCTTTGAAACAATGCTGTTACAGGTTTGGGGCAGTAGAAATATAATGGGATTCTTTGGAATATGCCAAGTTTGATGCCCTGTGGGATTTTTAAGTGAAAAACATAGGCATCAGATCACTAATTCTAAATCTGAGGAGAGAGGAGTGTCTTTAAAATCATAAAGTTCAGAATCTTCAGTATTGGTATCACAGTTAAAGCCATGGTATTGGCGGAGATCACACAAACAAGTTCTTTCTCTGCCAAAAAAGCCTCAAGCATGGGTGCATGTTACAGAATTCTGACATTCAAGAAATATATAGAAAAGAATAAGCAACTACAGAGGTTGGATAAAAAGAGTTATCTATCATGTCATGAAATAGAAGAGTTTGGGAAGAAGGGTTCAACCGTTTCAGTGATGCGTCATAAGAATGAGTCAATAAATGGATAGACAGAAGTAAAGATGCCATTGCATAATTTGCAGGAGACTGAGCTCCCTCTCTTATGGTTTACCTTTTTGAGAATTGGGAGGAGGGTTCTATTTTCCTTTCATGAGACAAATCTGGCAGAGTTACTTATTGAGAATTGTATTTGCTTGAAAATTTCTCCAACTTAAGAATGTCTGAAGGGTCAGATTCAATCATGTAAATCTTAAATTTCATGTAGGAATGGTCTTTGTCTCCTATATATGTTGGTGAACTTTTCCGTAATAGTAATGAGAACAAAGCCAGCTGTTTTAGTGTGAGGAACAATCAAGGAAGAAAAGAGACTGTGTGGTCTGCCTAGGTTTTAGACATTACTCTTCCCTTTGTTAAGTCTGTGATTCTCTCAGTGATTCTGTTAGTAATTCTGTACAGTTGGTATTCCAGTTCCCTAAGGCTGAGATTTCATATTAAATTTTGCTTGAAGTCCCTGATTGGTAATTAAGCATTTCACTTAGTATTATTTTATGCATACATTTTCTTTTCTTTTCTTTTTTTTGCAGTTTTTTGGCCGGGGCTGGGTTTAAACCCACCACTTCTGGCATATGGGGCCAGTGCCCTACTCCTTTGAGCCACAGGTGTCACCCTATGCATACATTTTCTTAGAAAACTTCCTGGGTTGCTGACAGGTAGGGAGTTACATGACTTGTATTTTGGGAGAATATTACTTCAGTACCACTTCTATTATAACTTAAAATTGTGACTGCAATTTTGGCAGATTTTTAAGTAAAAAAAAGGGAACTGGGATAATTTATTATTTCCTAGAGTTGAAAGAGAGAGAATGATATTGGAGAAGGTTCAGAGGCAGATGCTGATAGATCAATGTGATAATGAGTCATGAAATTTTTATTTTCAGTTCATGAGACACATCTAATCCATGACTATGATGGCCACATTCAACTTGAGCAGCTTCAATCCAGGCCCATTCATCCTACTGGGAATCCCAGGTCTGCAGCAGTTTCACATCTGGATTGGGATTCCTTTCTTTATTAGCTACCCTGTTGCCCTGGTAGGCAATGGTGTCCTTCTCTACCTCGTTTCCATGGAGCGCAGCCTGCATGAGCCCATGTTCTTTTTCCTCTTCATGCTGGCTGCTACAGATCTCATCCTGTCTAATACATGTTTACCCAAAACATTCAGCATCTTCTGGCTGGGTTCTCAGGAAATTACCTTTTCTGGATGCCTTACTCAGATGTTTTTTCATCACTACAGTTTTGTCATGGAGTCTGCCATCCAGCTGGCCATGGCATTTGATCGCTATGTTGCAATTTGCTTCCCCCTAAAGTACAACATTATTCTCACCCAGCAGATTATTTCTAAGATTGTGATGGGAATCATTATCAGGAGCTTTTGTATTATCTTCCCATGTGTGTTTCTATTAAAGCGACTGCCTTTCTGCCAAACACACCTTATTCCTATAATGACTGTCATTTCGGACCTGATTCTCACTGGCATCTCCTACACTCTCATTCTTCGTGCTATCTTTAACTTTCCATCCTGGGAGGCCCGGCAGAAAGCTGTCAGCACATGTGGTTCCCATGTTTGTGTCATACTTATATTCTATACACCAGCCATATTCTCTGTCCTTGCCCACCGTTTTGGTCACAACATTCCTCACTCCTTCCATATATTGTTTGCCAACATCTATGTAGCCATCCCTCCTGCACTTAAGCCAATCATCTATGGGGTGAAGACCAAGAAGATTAGGAAAAAATTCATACTCATTTTCCTTCCTAAAGGGAACCAGTGACATGATGCTGAGAGCGTGGGGGAAAAAACAGGTAATGGTATTGATTTTTGAGCACTTTTTTTTTTTTTTGCCAACAAACTTATTATTATAGAACCATTTCTTTTTTTGGATCATATTTTTATTTTTACTTTTTTTTTAAATTTCAGATTCATATAAGGGTACAGATGATTAGGTTACATTGTTTGTGTTTGTTAGGTAAAGTTTAGGTTGTAGTTGAGTCCTTCATCCAGGGAGTATGCTGTATACCCTCACATTGTGTCCATTAGTTGAGAGCTTATCAACTTTTTTTTTTTTTTAAAGCTGGAATCCTAATAATGTTGACCTAAATTTTATGATATCCTAGCAATCTATTCTGTTGTCGGAATCAGTAAGATAAGATGAGGAGTCAAGAGAATTAAATAAAAGTTGAAGAAGACAAGTTTGAATGAAAAGAAAGATCAGGTGGGGTTTTTATTTATCATTTTGAGATAAGAGTTCACAGATACATAGGATCACATGTCGATTATAAGTAACATAAGCAGATGATTCTTAGGAGAAGGTTAAAAAGGATGAGTCAAGTCATCACAATTTGGGGTACAAGTAGTACCCAAGTTACAGACATATGAGTCATATACTACTTTCACTTATGAATGGAGACTATTCAGTAAGTCCTGAGTAACAAACATCCAACTGACATACATCTTGCACTTATAAACAGAGGTGATTATAGGTTATAGGTAAATGTACATGTTTTAACTTACATACAAATTCAATTTAAGAGCAAATCTACAGAACCTAAACTGGGGACTACCTGTACCTTTGTAGGACACTTTCCAGATAATAATCATAAAAATAAAACTAAATTATTACCTTTTTAATGAATCCTCCAGAAAGGGCCTGCCACAGTGGCTCACACCTGTAGTCCTAGCACTTTGGAGGTTGAGGCAGGTGGATAGCCTGAGCTCACAGTTTGAGACCAGTATGAGCCAGAGGGAGACCTCATCTCTAAAAGTAACTGGCAGGCACCTGTAGTCCCAGCTACTTGGGAGGCTGAGGCAAGAGAAATGCTTGGACTCAAGATTTTGAGGTTGCTGTGAGCTATGATGTCACTTCACTCTACAGAGGGGCAACAAAGTGAGACTCTGTCTTGGGAAAAAGAAAAAAGAATCCTCTAGGAAAATTTACCTGTAGTTCCAGCTACTTGAGAGGCTGAGCTGGGAGAATTGCTTGAGAATTGCTTGATTCCAGGAGTGCTAAAGCAGGTTGAGCAACATAGTAAGAGCTGATTTAAAAAAAAAAATCCTCCAGGAAAATTGATTATCTATGACAATCTTTAGTAGGAAATAGCATTGTCAAACTTTAGTAAGTATCACAACCACCTGGGGAACATGGTAAAAATGCAAAGTCCCAGACTTTGTTCTATTTCAGTGGACCTCTGTATTCTTTAATAGTTCTCTAAATGATTCTGATACCTAAGAAATTTTGGCTCATTTCAGTTCAGAAAAATTCTGGTCCTTTAAAAAACTCATGGATTTTGGGGTGGTGCCTGTGGCTCAAAGAAGTAGGGCGCTGGTCCTATATGCCAGAAGTGATGGGTTCAAACCCAACCCCGGCCAAAAATAAAAGCTACCAAAAAAAAAAACCTCATAGATTTTGCTCTTGCAGTAATTTTTTGGGTCTCAAAGGAACACAGTTTTGTTCATATAGATGACCTTTTAACAACTTGATGCAGTGAATTATATTTTACAAAGATGGCTACTACCATGCTTCTGCAGTGTGAACTTTCTGGCATTTCCACATTAATAGTTAAAGAACAGTGCCCCTCTTTTCTCAACTTTGTGTTGGACCTAAGAATACCTTGAAAAACATTATTCAGTGGAAGTGTTATTTTGGGGCTTCTGAGGTTAAGTCATAAAAAGCTCTGCAATTTCCAGCTGGGTCACTGTGATGCTTGATCTTAGTAGGTTCTCTTTGGAGTTCAGATACTATGCTATGAGCATACTAGACAACATGGAGAAGCTAAATATTCTAGTGAGTGGCTTCAATTGAGATCCCAGCCAGCGGCCAACAAAACAACTATCAGAAGTATCAGTAAGCCTTCTCGAATATTCAGTTCAGTGGAGACTTCAGACATCTTTGACAGTACCAAGGAAAACAGAAAATATAACTAATGAATTGATTCATTTGGCAAGGAAGACTTTGAAGAAGAATACTGAAAGTCCAACATTTTTATATTCCATATGGTAAGGTAGAGATAAAGAGATATGAGGTAAAAATAAAATTATTCAGTGTTCCAACAAAATTTAGAGTAGATATAAAGGAGTCATGGACAGCTAGGTTAAAATGGTGAAAATATTTGAGTCCTGCCACCCCCAGTCTCATGTGACAACAGGCTGAAAAAAGAAATGACCTCAGGATGTAGTATTATCTCCAGGATGTAGTATCATACCCAGCATGAGACTATAGGATCCTTTGCTAAGCACAGAGAAGTATTTATGAGTACACCTTATAAATCTTTTTAATTAGACAAAAAAGCTTGTAAAAATCTTTAAAATATAGTTTCAAGATATCATAACTCTCAGCTAAAATTAAAAAGGGAAAAATCTGATAGACATTTCTGGTATGACTTTAATGGAGTAAACTCTAAAATTTTCACAGAGAACTCAGAGTTTTTAAGAGAAACATACAGATGTAAGCACCATCAGCTTAAACTAAAAGGGACAGCATCACTGCAAAAGAAAAGAGTTGTTTGGGTTTTCAACTTCTGAAGACAAGAAGATACTCAGATATAAATATAGGCCATTTTTCATTGAAAAACAATGATGATATAGAATATAAAGTCAATTGCCCAGAGGTTGTAGCCAAGCCATGGAGAATTATTCATTCAAAGGGAACAGGACTGGATCCTTCTTAGGAAACTGATGATATATTTCTGGCTGGACTTTAGAATTATAACGGGCATGTGACTGTTACGTGCTTCTCCTATTATTTTACACATGAGTGTCTATTGAGGTTTTTCTATCTCTGTATCATCATTGTATGTTGGCTCACTGGACAGTAGACAATTCATTTATTTAATTTACAGGTCTTTAAATTGAGAGGGACTCTACTCAAGAAGCCATATACAAGAAACTCAACTCAAGAAATCTTATCCTGTTTTAAGTAGATGAGATTCTGGGCTTTGAACTAATCACCATGAGAATAAGACTTAGAAGTCTTATAGATGAGGTGAATTTATTTTAGATGTAGGAGAAATTATACATTATTATGGCCAGATGGTGGTCTGGTGCATGTTTTATTTTCCAAAGATAGCAAACAATATCTTACATCTCATATATATTTCTGAAATATAACCTTGTCACCCTTCCAAGAAGTATAGTCTAATTTTCCTCATTTTTTCTGGACTGGCCTTAGAATTTTTTTTTAATGTTTTTAAATACATGTGACATTTGAGGATATTTGAGACAAGGTTATTAGAAGTTGTACATCTTAGTCATTGGAGTCTTTGAACATTTACTTTCTTAACATTCTCAAGAACATAGCCATCATACTGATAATCCCAAGTTACTTGGAGAGATGCTGTGACTGACATTCCTGGCTGAGCTGCTGGTTAACAACCAGCATCAACTCCATCAATTCTAGTCAAACTGAGGATAACTACTTCCACATCAAAACTCTGACTGTAGCCAAATAGGAGAGATGGTCCACATGAGAAGTGCCAGTTTATCTCAGTAAATCAAAACAATCATAAGAGATAATAATAAAGTCTTTTAAAACTGCCATGTTTGGGGGTATTTTGTTATATAACAATAGATAACTGAAATAATTTAATTTCAGTACTCTGACTTTTCCTCCAAAGATCTTGACCACTCTACTTCATCTGCTTAATTCTCCAGAAACAATGGAGAATTTGCATTTACATAAACATATGCAAGTTATTAATAATCCAGATTTTAGGCATTGAGTCTCCAATAGACCACCTCCAGCTTTTCAGCTCACTTTCTCTTGAACTTCAAGGCATGGATAATATATTGATCTTATTGCATTTTCATATTGCTTCATTTTTCTCATTTCTTAATTTTCCTCTTTGCTAACAATTTTATGGTCTCTTCTTTTTGTTTGTTTTTGTTTTCATGGTCTATTCTTAGAATTACTCCTCAATACAAATTTTCTCTCTCTCTCTTCCTATTTTTTTCTCTTTCCCTCCCTCTCTAACAGGTATAATTTATATTGCTTTTTAACCAACATAGTAACCCTGTCTAAATCTAATTTTCCATGTATTTTGTGCTTGAAGCCATTGGCCTGGCAATTTTTTCCTTACTTTTGACTTATCAATTTTCATTCTCTGCTGGATCGTTTCCCATTAGAAATAGGAAGAAATGGCAGTTTCAGGAGAGAGAGGGACTTGGGCCAGCAGAGACAGCACAAAGGAGTATTTATGACCTTCTAGAGTCAGGTGAAACAAATAGAGAAGAGAGAGTCGGTTCTAACATCCAAAAATCAAATTGAAAGATTGATCCGTCCTGGTCCCTCTTACTTCAATTTGAACCCACTTGAGGTTCTTCCGATAGATCCTGAAGTCACAGATGAAGAAATAAAAAAGCGGTTTTGACAGTTATCCACATTGGTGCATCCTGACAAAATTCAAGATGATGCTGACAGAGCACAAAATGCTTTGAAGCTGTGGACAAAGCTTACAAGTTGCTACTGGATCAGGAACAACAGAAGAGGGCGCTGGATGTAATTCAGGCAGGAAAAGACTGTGTGGAACACGCTGTGAAAGGGCGACTAAAAAAGCCATTAAAGAAGGAAGGGAAACCTATGTTGTAGAGGTGGATGATGCTGAGTTGCTGAAACAAGCAGCACATAAAGAGACCATGAGACTCTCTGCTGAACTGAAAAGAAAAGGAAAGAGAGAAGCCGAAGAGATGCATGAAAGGAAACGACAAAGGGAAGAAGAGATTGAAGCTCAAGAAAAAGCCAAACGAGAAAGAGGGTGGCAGAAAAACTTTGAGGAAAGT